AAAAAAAGCTGATTCCCCCTTTAAAGCAACATACAACTAAGGCACCACTCCACTTCATCCACAGTAAAGTATGTCATGTGTACCCGTCATAACTCATATCAAATATTTCCATTGTTCATTTACAAAAATCTCTCTGCACCAAGTAAACAGGGATTTTCTCTGCTAGTACACATTGCATGCATGACTGGTACGCATACAGCCTCTGGAAGTGGGCAAATACCTGTCAGTTTAACAATTTGCTATGCAAGACCAAGCTAAAAGTTTATACATATCAACTGACATCAGGTAAATTTACTTATTTCCATAATCTATGAATATAACATTATAGATTGTGCTAACTTACTGGTTTTGTTGTAGCCTATCACAGATCCCCTATAATGTTTAGAGAGCCTCGTAAGTGAAGTCTATATATATCCTCTAGCCGATACCCCCTATATCCTATTCCAAAGGATTGGAGCAGCACAATAACAGGGATGTGAGGAGATAACAGCAGCATTGTAAACACATATTTTGTCTTCTTACACCCGGAAGCAGGTCAAGTACACAGAGACAGATTCCTAAGTCACCATGACAGGGACAACAGAATTGATCTGTCAAGAGACTGGATCACCAAAGTAATGTTATCCTGTAGAAGTCTGGAGAAAACTGGGCAAATGGAACTGCCATCATGCCTAGGGCTCACATGCAAAAACAAGGAGTTATCAGTTGAGTGATTAAAAGATTTGGACCCTAAACGTTTCTTGGTCTGGTGCTCTCATTACATTTAGATGCATCGATTCGGTTCCTAGCCCCTCCCCTAGAGGTCTCCTGATTCCTTCAGAAGAGCTACCTAACCTAAGCCATTAGGCTCAAGCAGTGATTCCACCCCCCTTCTCTGAAAAATTAAGAAAGATGCCAGTCCAGCGCCCTTTTTGCCATTTGCGTCAGGACCAGATGTAGAGAAGAGTCTGCCAGTAGAAACAGAGCTCTAGAAGGAGCTTCCAAACTTTTATAGGTTGGAGCTTTAACCCCTTCGTGACTGACGACGTACAGTGTACGTCGCCAGCATCGGGGCTGTTTAAACAGAATCCCGGTGACTTTTGCCGTCCGGGACTCTGTTTAAACTTGCAGAGCCGACTGTCGGCTTTACAACAGATACAACAGAAGCGATCCTGGCGACTTACCTGTCGCCAGATCGCTTCTGCGTCCCGAAGAAGGGGCCCCCCCCCCGCCGGACACCCCCGCCGTGCTTCCCGGGCTCCGTTGCCCCTCCTACGGGCCCGGGACCGGCGATCTTGGTGTCCGCGGGGAGCTGGGGAGGAGGTCGACGAACTTCCGTTCATCGATCCCCTCCCCGTTCTATGGGACCGGGAGCGATGCAGATTGCATCACTTCCGGTCCCTGGGCTGTCAGTTCTGGGCTCCTGGAGCCCAGCTATAAGCTATTGAAGTGCGATCTGCACTTCAATAGCTTATTTCCAGTGTAAAGGTGACACTGGGGGTCTTTTGGACCCCCAGCATCACCTTAAAGAGTACCTGTCACCACCATCTGCTATCACATGGGGGGGCTTGTAAGCCCCCCCATGTGATAGCAGTCAAAGTAAAGTAACAAAACAAAAAAACAAAAAAAGGTTTAAAAAAAAAAAAAATTTCATAAAATAAATCTAATAATAATAAAAAGTTTAAAGTCCCCCGCTAAATTGATGACCTGTGGGCATCTTTAAAGCGTCTTCTATGGACTTTTTGGGGTACTGGGGTTTTTCGCCGTTTTACGGATGCACGCAATTTGTAACCTGGGCATGTTGGGTATCGTTTTACTCGTTGTAACCTCATCTTTTATATTTCATTAAAAAAAATGGTATTTTGTTGTGTTTTGGGGCATTTAATTACATTTTTCACTAAATATTGGGGTTTAATAAGGAGTTGCGCTAATATTGCGCAACATAAAAATTTGCAACTACCACCATTTTATTCTATAGTGTCTTGGCATTCAGAAAATATATAATGTTGGGGGGTTTTAAGTAATTTTCAGGCCTAAAATGTGGAATATAACATGGGTACAAAAAATGAAAAAAGGCCTCAGTCATGAAGGGGTTAAAGAACGGCGCATCCTCTACCAGCCACATCCACAGCCTGAATGGACCACTTGTACAAAAGCCTCCTGTACAGACTCGGGGTGAGAGGCAAGGCCTCAGATACCACGAAACCCAGACAAGCTGGTAGCAAGTGAGGGTCAGATGACTGGAAGTCCCCGAAGTCACTGTAGGTAAGCAGCAGTAATGGATCGAAGATCGAAGTGCCACATGGCTATTGCGAGCAGAAGCAGCAGCGGTAAGAACCTTCTTCAAGGTGGAATGGCGTGAAAAGGCAGATTATGTCAGCGCTCAATCCCACAGGGTTATGGTCTTCTGTGGTGGAAAGGAAAAGGCAATACAGACACTTGGCAACCTATATAAATGATGTTGCAACTAGTACTTGGCCACACCGGACTACTCACTACATGAGTCTTCAGAGTCAAAGCAAGAATTGAGGCAATGCCATTAGTTGTGGACTTGGAAAGCACTCTGAAGTTAACTTTTACCATAACAGAGCCTGGAAAGTTCCTAACACAAAACCCAGTGACCTAAGGCCACTTCCAGGCTATCCCTGCAACATCCAGTCTCAATTAGGTATTCCAAAAGCCAGGCTGAAGACAACTGCCCCAGTGCACAATCCTCCTGTAGGCAGAAGTATAACCCAAAGGTTAAAGGACTTCCTGTGTCCCACAAACAGAAACATTTTGCATGTTTTTATTCATATTTACAGAGCTGAATATCTGAAGCTCAAAGTACACATGGCTGTGAAAGTCAGAGAAGTGACTCATCCTCCTTTCCTCTAGGCTCTCTACCTCTGAACGCTCTAAGGGCGGTTGTGGATCAGCGCGGTTTCCGCACGTATTTTAAAAGGGCGATTTTGGGAGGTTGTGGATCAGCGCGGTTTCTGCACGGATTTTAAAAGGGCGATTTTGGGTGTTTTTAATTGCGCTTTCACACTGAAACGCAATTAAAAAACACCCAAAACCGCGCTGAACAGTACGGTTCCATTGAAAGCTGTAAGGAAACCGCACCTGTTCAGCGTGGCAAAAAAGGGTCAGGGAGCAATTCGGGCGGGAGGCGGATCAGATAGCGCGGAGCCGTACGGTCACATGAACGGTCCTCATAGCAATGTATGGGATTGTTCATGGTGGCCGAATCTCCAGAATGCTCTGCCAAAAAGCGTTATGGCCTGCATTAAATCAGAACAATGCAAAGCATTTCAAAGCAAATACATGTATTGTCTGTTATATTGGGGTTATCACAATGCTGACTAACTTACCTGACTTCACCCACTCCAGTCTGCAGCTTTCTCTTTAGCTCTGACACTCGGCCAGTGATCTGGTCAGGATGTACCATGTTCTGCAGGGCGTCAGTCAGCTGTGCCTGCACCCTCTCCAGCTGCTTCTTCAGCGATTCATTTTCTCTCTTCAGGGGAAAGATCACAGGGATATAGTGACTAAAAATGTGCTACTATAAACACCTGAAGGCATAAACAAAACCAGGAATAAAAGAATACAGTGGTGCGAGACCTCAACATTAGAGGATACTTTCACTGTATAACCCACACAAGAAAAAGACATTTCTGACTGGCTAAAGTGCTTTTATAAACCGGACCCGCCCGTATTTAAAATCCACTAATCAAAGCACACTTGGCATAAAGGTGAATTTAAAAAGCTCTATGTTTTGCCTAAAAGCAGCCAATGACATTCAGACATTCTCCAGTTAAAATTTCTTTAGTCTAAATCTGATTGAAACAGTAAATTATGAATGACACTTTATTCCATTAAATCTTCTCTAAATTAATTTGTTGAAACCTTAAAGGTGAGGAAATGGCTGTATGTGGCTGGGTGAGAGAAGGATAAGTGAAATCATTCAGTTACACACCCCATTACCGCTATACCCGAGTATTTCTTCTACATACAATGATAGGAAATAGGGGAGAAAAGGGCATTTTGACAGATATCACCATTTAATGTTTATAGAACAATTCCAAGAATTAAGAAAATGATTAGGTGAACCAACAACGTCATACAGGAAATAGGATAGGGGGATGCCAGCACCCTATTATATATATATATAATTTTTTTTTTTTTTAAATTATGTAGACAACCTCCCCTTCCTGAAGAAGCGCCCTAAGCGCGAAACGTTGAGAGAATACTAGGCTCCTCCTCTGTGTAACCTTCAACATCTAACGCTGTATCATGCTAAATTACAAATAATCATGTTTCTGTTAAGTTATATTATCTAATCATGTTAACGAGATGTTTAATCATGTCCTTCCATTATCATGCATTGCAATTCAACCAATCATGTTATTTATCTATGTATGAAGGACAGAAATGGAGTGAGCCTTTCAGGGAGATATATAATCATGTTGTCATCTTTTACAAAATCAATTCAATCTTTTTAACCATTTGATACGGTTAATAAACAATATATTTTTACAAATTTATTGGTCTGGAAGTTGTCATTCAGCCTACAAAACCCCAGCTTTCCTCTTATTTTTCTAAACAATTGTCCTTCAGGGGTGTGGGATCCACTGCACAGATCCAGGTCACCTAATCTTGAATTCAACTTTAAGACTTTGCACATGTTTTGTTTGGAATGTATTTAGCCAATTTAAACTGAAAGTTTAAGTAGGGTTTAATCTCTCATGACAGTGTCCCTTTAACATTACTAATCTGTTTCCACATAAAACGTGGGTGAAAAGTTCAGGGTTTGGTGTTGCTTTCACAACACTGCAGTGACTATGGTCACAGACACTTTATTCACCTCAGGGCTGTGTTTTGCTCTATACGGTTCCAGCTGTGCACACCACAACCACATGATACCCACCTGCAGCTGCTGGAGCTGAGACGAAAGCTTTTTGCCGTCTTTGTCCTTCTCCTCCAACATTTGAGCCTTAGTCAGCGCATTCTCCAGTGCATGCCTGTCTCTCTGCAGCTCAGCTTTCAGCGCAGAACTCTCCGCCTGCAGAAATATCACAAAGAGGTTTGGCATTTCCTCCATTTCATAAACCATTATCAACTTAATCATGTGACGGCTTACATGTCCCTGCCGTTTCCTTCTCTCTAGCTCCTGCTTCAGCTGTTCGATCTCCGCTTCTCGCGCTCCAAGCTGCTCCTCTAGCTGGGCTTCATATTCACTGAGGTTGCCCTGGGCCTGGCGAAGAGATTCGTTCAAGTCTTGCTGTTCCTGGAGAGTACGTTCCAACTCTTCGATCTCCTAGAATAACAAACACTGGACTTCAAAAGGCAAGAATAATGCCAGCACTAACCTGAGATCCATTATGAAACAAATGCAAAACCTCTAAAAAGGTAAAGCATTATAATACAGAAAAGACATAAAAAACAGAGCGCCGCCTCTATGTGTAAAAACCTTTATTAACCACTTGCTGACCAGGTGTTTATACCCATTTCCTGTCCAGGCCATTTTTCAGTATTCAGCGCTGCAGTACTTTGACTGACATTTATTCCGTCATGCAACTCTGTACTGAAATACATTTTATACCATTTTTTGGGGACACATAGATCTTTCTTTTGGTGGTATATAATCACCACTGGGGTTTTGTTTTTGGTTTTTTTTTACTATATTAAGGAAAAATTACAAAAAATTTTGAAAAACAATAGTTTTTTTTACCATAATCACCCAGTTTTTTAGTAAAATATAAAAGACGGGGTCACGTTGGGTAAATAGACCCCAACATGTCAAGCCTTAAAATTGCATGCATCCGCGAAATTGCAAAAAACTACTATACCAAAAATTTACCATAGACAACGCTTTAAAAGCTTTTAGCACTCATCAGTTTAGCGTTATCAGTGATTGATGGCCCTAGAATTATTGCTCTCACTGCGACATTCGTGGTGATATGTAACATGTGCGGCATAATGGTCGCAATCGGCTGCTGTGAGCTTGGTTTACGTGTTTCAGGGGCAGGGAACTTGCCCCTGAAACGCGTAAACCAAGCTGCTAGTGGACTGTTTGATGTGACCAGAGGCTGCTGTTCTATGTAGTCGGGGCAGATTACTCCCTTCTAAACGACAGTGCCTATGCTAAGCGTGCTGAAATTGTACTCTTGTGAGTACATATACCTATTTTTCTCTTTTAAATAAAGATTTTTCCACATTTTTTTTCTCTGTTTTTTATGTCTTTTATGTATGTGATGGGAACCCCTGATCCCTTGGATGAGCAGCCCCTTGAGGGCCTGAAGAGCTGATACTGTGGGAGGACTGTCAATGGCAGCCATTTAGCACTAAGAGAGAAATAAAAAAACTTATTTTAAAGCATTATAATGTCTATAGACATCAGATGGCACTGATCTTTCCATAAAAATGCACACTTAGATTGGCCAGGCAGTCAAGACAAGGACTAGGGGGGGGTTGGGTGAAAGCAAAATAAAAAGTCCATGAAGCAGCTTATTCTGGGGGCAAAAAATAGTGGATGACTAGTTAAATTCAATCCAGTCAACAGTTCCCCCAAAAAGGGCTGTCTGGAGAGGTAGAGGAGCACCTACAGACACATGGTTGTCTATATGAAAAACAAGATTGTAAAAGCGCTATTACAGGTCAAAATAGACCTTATTTAGCAAACTGTTTGCATTGCCCAGTTGCTCATAAAACTAGCTGTCATTGGAGTAATGGAGAATGTGACTGGCAGCTGGGACTGAGAGTTCTTTAGAAAGCTGAATAACAACACAGTGAGAGACAGCTGCTGCAAAGGCTGCAAAATCCCGGACTGAATAAATGTCAGGGTATGTAGGGTAAAATGTAGGAGCACTACAAATTATTAATTCTGATACATTTTTCTAGCCTTGTCATTTTAGAACTTCCTTTCATCATACGCCAATAAATGTCCATGAATTCATTTTTAAAATTGATACTTTCTACCTATTTTTGTTTCCTTCTAGCCGTTTAGGCTTTTGAGGAATCTCTGGAGCCCAATGGTCCATGTTTAAATTACATACACTGCAATGGAGATGTCTACAAAATGTTATCCTCAATGCTACTAGCATGTACTAGCTAAATGAGTTTACTGTGAGTACTTTAATGTGAGTACTGTGGTATTCTGCAGCCTAAGCTGTGTAGACAGAGTCATTGCATATTTGCAGCTGTGGATACACAAATAAACAAACATTCTACCCAGTTTACCCCTGTACCCACAGTCATTTTGCAGTCTCACTGGTACAGTTTCCCTATGTGAAGTAAAAATGTTTTTTCACTAGAGATGGCAATTCAATAGGGATGAAATAAAAAGGAGGAGATGAAATTTAAGTGAAGTCACTTGGGCTAGTTGAAAACAGAAAATTAAAAATCACTCGAAATCCACCAGGACTTCTACGTTTAAACCTAGTCAATGCACCATTTTTAAATGATGCGACATTATGTACAATACCTTCTTCAGATCTTCTGTGTCCTGTGCTGCCGCTTCCAGTCTCTCCCGCTCCTCCTCCAGCTCTTCTAGTCTCTGCAGCAGAACTTCCCGCTCAGACTGCAGCTCCCGACACTCCTCATGGGCTTGCTTGGCCTGACCCTTCACACTATCCAGGTACTCCTGTAACCCGGAGATTATCCCCTCCAGATCTCGCTTCAAGGCCTCATTTGCAGCTATCTGACCTGCGCACAGTAGACAAAACACCATTAACATGACTCTGTATCATAATCTACTTGCAATACAAAATACAGTTTTAGATGAGTTTTTCTGTCTTCATTTGGCAAAACTCTGTATAGTTGTCTATTTTGCCCAGTGATACCCTGCATTGGTTGGGTCCCTAATGTGTTTGGACATGAACAGCACTATGTGGTCTTGTGACACAGGGAACAAATCCGACAATGGAATCAATGTCTTGCCATCTCTTCAGTGTATTGATAAGGATAGAAAATAACTGCACAAACCCATATCTTTAGTACACAAAAAAAAGGTAATCAAAAAAGGGTACAATTACATGGAATCTAATGTTAATGTGGGATAACAAAATATTTCACCGAACTTCCATAATCTGAATATCTCACAACACAAGCTTACAGTCAAAATGATTGCCACTGTTATATTAGCCAACCACATTGGTAAATTCAGCCATAGACATTGTTGGGTAGTCAGACATGCAGCCACGATATGACCACCCTCAAACATTTAAGTTAGCTGCCAATAGCAAATCACAAGAAGTCACAATACACGTTAGTGTTTACCCTATAGAGCAGTTAAGATAATTCCAGCAGTATAAACAGGGAAACTACAAGTACAAGAGGTAAAAACTGAGAGAGATGAGCTAATGGAGAAAGTAGAAGTACAAATTTTAGGTGGAGGCAAGATAGGCTTTCCTGAAAAGTTGAGTTTTCAGGGATCGCCCTAGTGGCAGACAGGAGTAAGAAAATCGCCAGACAGACAGGGGTATGGGGTATGGAGTATGGAGTTTGAAGGTAGGAAAAAGGCTCTGGAGAAGTCCTGGAGGCGAGCATGCGAGGAGGTGACAAGGAAGCTAGTGAGCTGGAGGTCTTGAGAGCAGCAGTGGAGTGGACAGTATGGGTGAAATTCTGAGATGAGGTTGGTGATATAGCTGGTTGTGGATGGCTTTGTGTGTTATAAGCATTTTAAATGTGATATGTTGTGCTAGCAGAAGCCAGTGGAGGAATTGACAGAGGTGGGCAGTGGCCAGTGAGTGGCTGGAGAGGTGAATATGTCTAGCAGCAGCATTCATAATAGAATGAAGGGGAGGTAAGCCAAGAAGTTGCACTTATCATGGTGAGAGATAACTAGGGAGTGAATGAGTTGTGGTGGTGTTTGTCAAGGGGGAGATTTTGCATATGTTAAAGAGGTAAAAGTGGCAGGATTTAGACAGCGATTGGATGTGGGGCCTGAATGAGAGGTCAGAGTCCCGGATTACACCTTGTACCCTGACATGAGTGGAAGGTCTGATAAATGTGCCGTTGATCTTGATGGAAAAGTTGGGGTAGGGTACATGGGGGTGCAGAGGAAATTCTATGAGCTCAGTTTGTAAAAGATTGAGTTTGAGGAATTGGTGTGTACACCATACTGAAATGTAAATCCGTTAATTATTAATGGGTGAGAAAACTGAAGGAGTGTGCTGAGGAGTCTAGAAATAGATTTGGGAGTCATTTGCTTAGAGATGGTATTGAAAGCCTTGGGGCACTTCTACAAAAAGAGGAAGAGGAGAGAAGGAGATAGCATTCTATGTCACATCACATTCTCAAACAATTCATCCCCACACAGCTACCTCCTCATGTATCACTTCTCCCTCTCTTTTAGATTGTAAGCCCTCACAGACAGGGGCCTCCTTACCATCTAGTCTTGAATTGTGATTGTAATGTCTTCCTTATATTGTAAAGCGCTGCACAAACTGTTAGCGCAATATAAATCTTGTATAATAATAATTATGTGATATGGAAGGTGCACTGAGAAAAGGAGAAAACAGAAGAGCCATGGAGGCCAAAGGGAGTAGAGTTTTGTTTGTTTTTTTGGAGGAGGAGGAGGAGGAGTGGGTGTTCAACTGTATCAAAGGAGGCAGAACTTACTAATAAGGCCCCATTCACACGGAGCGACATGAAAATTGCGAGATTTTCTGCAAGATTTTACGTGTGTGATATTGCGTGACTTTTTCCTATTGGGCTGTATGCAATCAGGAGCAAAATCTCTCGAAATGTGCAGAAAAAAGTGTCATGTAGGAGCGACAAGCTACAGCGACGAGCTACAAGTGATATTGAGCGGCGAGATGTGAACAGCTCCATTGAAATGGATTGGAGAAACTACATAGAGCGATATCGCGTGGAAATATGAGTGATAATCGCTGCAAAAATCGTGCGATAAATCTCTCAGTGTGAATGGGGCCTAAGGAGTATGAGTACAGAGTAGTGGCAATTGGACTTAGCAGCTTTTAAGTCGGAGAGCAGTCTCATTGAAGTGTTATGTATGAAAGTCTAAGCTGTCCTCATAAAATTATAGTTAGGTGGGGTGGGGAGCGTAAAGCTGCCCATACACCTTACAACCATTGCACGACTTTCGTTGTGCGATGGTTGTAAGGTAATTAAAATCTCTTACGATCTGCCCATCTTGGACGGGCAGATCATACTTGCGATCATCGCAAGCCCGCCCCGCTGAGGGGAGGGCTTCCGATGATTGCAATGCTGAGCGGGCAGTGTGCGCTTGCGCACACCGGCCCGTTCGGCATTTGTCTTCCGAGCACGCCACTAACCCGTCGAACATCGTACAATGTTCGGCCGGTTTTCGAGCGTGCTCGGAAGACAAAAGACCGTACAGTAGAAACGGTCGCATGCCTTCCATACACCTGCCGATTATCTTAAGATAAATCGGCAGGTGTATGGGCACCTTCAGCCAATGAATCAATTAGCGCAAACAAGAGACACCTGGTTGATAGTGAACACTTTTCACATACAGACAGGCTGGAAGAAACACAAGATCAGGATTTTGATCTGCAAAAGGCAGCAGGAAGATAAATATTTGTAAATAGCATCAATAAGTTAAACAGATGCCTGAGGCAGGAATTACCAGTATGTACCTGGTCAGGGTTGTACCAGTTAAAAGTAAAATATTAACTGAAGCACAGCAAAAATGCAGGAAAATTTACTGAATTTCCTCCCACACTCTAAAGACATGCTGGAAGGTTAATTGGCTCCAGTCTAAAGCTGGCCATAAACTTTCATTGTGCGATGGTTGTAAGGTCATTAAAATTTCGTACGATCTGCCCATCTTGGACAGGCAGATCGTACTTGCGATCATCGGAAGCCCTCCCCGCTGATTGCAGTGCTGAGCGGGCAGTGCGCGCTTGCTCACACCGGGCCATGCGGCATTCATATCCAGACCACGCCACCAACCCGCCAAAAATCGTACGATTTTCGGCAGGTTTTCAAGCGTGCTGGGAAGCCGAATGTTCTGCGACCTAACCAGGGGCGGACGGACCATTCGGTCCGTCGTGCACCGCATAAGGTGGGGTCGCTGCCGGCAGATCCAGCCACCGCCGCCACCGCATACAGAGTCTCCTCTCTCAGCCGATCTGCAGCTGCAGGCGGCTGTCTGTCACGCCCCCTCCCGCCCCAAAACAAAGTGAGCCGGCTGGGTTGCATACCAGAGGCCGAACGCTCTGGAACGCACTCTTTATGGTGTGACTGGGCCCTTTAAAAGGAGAACTATAAGGTGAGTGATTTCCACTCATCTTCATAGTTAGAGCCGATTTGTGACAAAGAAGCTGTTACAGGTCAGCTCTATCGATCGGGAAGGGAGCAGAAACATGCACCGATCCGCTCACTTCTCGATCATTTCCCTGCAGAGGGTGGTGACTGTCAGTGCAATCGCCCTCACCAGAACGCGTGGCACAACGGTGCGATTGCGTGCACTATTTTTTGCGATCACATTACTCCGTGGGCATCGGTGTGGCATGCGTTCCGGTGCAAGTGCAGGTCGGGGGTGTGGCTGCGGTGCCATTACCTTGAATGCACCACCACACACTCTTCAACCCCAGAACGCAGGGAGGCTGTAATTATGCAATCCACTGTGCTCCAGCAACAAACTATGCTGGAACACACTGGATTTGGTGTGAACAAGCCCTTACACTCAGTTGAGGGCCCGTTCACGCTATCCAGTGCGTTCCCCACACAGTCCCATGGGTTGAACACACTGGATCACATAAACAAACTCTCCTTGCGTTCTGGAGTGGGAGGGGGTGTGGTGGTTCCATTCATGTCAATGGCACTGCAAACATGCCTCCCACCCACACTGGAACGTGTGGTACCACAATGCACTGGGGGGGTTTGTAAAAACTGGTGCAGCTGTGCATGGGAACCAATCAGCTTCTCTCCTCAGTTCAACATTTGAAAATGAGTGAGAGGTGCCGATTGGTTGCCATGCACGGCTGCTCCAGTTTGATAAATTCCCCTCACTGTGTTCTAGTGCAGTGCAATCACAAAAAAATAGGGCATGCCTGATTTTTTGCGATCACACCGCACTGGTATGCAGTGCATTGAGGTACCTCATGTTCCAGTGTGGGTGGGAGGCATGTCTGTAGTGCCATTGACATGAATGGAGCCACCACGCCAGAATGAGCCTTTGTTTATGCGATCCATTACGTTCATCCCATGAGACTGTGCGATGAACGCACTGGATAGTGTGAACGGGCCCCGAGTGATAAACACACCTTCATAAGGTTGTTCTGGACACTGTTCTGCCACACCTGCCTGATAGTTACCCTATCAGGCAGGGTGCTCGCAGTGACTGCGGATGGCGCCGCAAATATCAGCAATTGTGTAGAGATGTCACCAGCACACCAAAATCCTTCTTAGCATAAGCAAATGTTCATTTATTGAAGTTCCTTGTCATATAAACAACTATTGTTTATATGACAAGGAACTTCAATAAATTAACATTTGCTTATAATAAGAAGGATTTTGGTGTGCTGGTGACATCTCTACACAATCTCTAATCGGGTGGCTGCTCACTCCCAATTAGAGCCTCGGGAGGCCCCAGCGGACGGCCCTCTAACATGCCTGATTAGAGGGCTGTGCCGGCCTGATCTGTGACACAAGAATGTTTATACAGGTGGGACTTGTGGGAGAGGCTTGTATATGGGCGGAGGACAAGGGGGCCCCATAACCATGTATTGCCGGGGGGCCCCATGTGTTGTCAGTCCGCCCCTGGACCTAACAGTAGATCACGCTCGATTATCGTACGATAATCAGCAGGTGTATGGGCACCTTCAATTGGTCCTCATATGTACGCATGTAAGACAGGGACCTTAGACTGTAAGCTTCTAGAGGGCAGGGACTGATGTGAATTTGCAATGTGTAAAGCGCTGTATAAATTGTCCAAAACTATGGAAATACCTAAATACCTATAATAAATAAATATGTATGTATGGTTTTATCAATTAACTACTATGTTCCATATCTTGTTCTTTTTTCAAAACAGTCCAGATTTTGCTTTTTAAAAAAAAAAGAAACGGAAAAAAAAAAAAAAGGTAACAGCAGTATATTTTTGAGTATGCATTTGGTATGAAAACCTGCTGTTTGCCTGGCTGTGGGTAATGACCCATGGCCTGGCTTCCTGATTGGCCAGGAAGCCGGCTCCATGTTCCCTTGCGGCACAGACAGTCAGAGGAAATCTCCCGCTGACCGGAAGTTCCGGTACCAGGATAAGTATCAGAGCATTTGGACGAGTATGAGTACTCAGTATCGGCACATCCCTAGTAAAAGATAATCACATACACATGTACAGCTTAAAAAAAAAAAACGCCTTTCTTTAAGGCAGCATAACTAAATAATTATTTTTTGGCATAACACATGTATTTAAGCTTAAAATCTAGAAAAGCTGAATATTCTGTCTCTCTCTCTCCAAGCACTATTGTCATAATCAGGGCTGGGTTTGGAAACTCGCCTCGAAGGTCAGTTAAGAATAACAATTCTGCTGTGTTTTAGAACAAAACACAAATTTTCCTGCCACTACAGAGGAAACTGCTGTGTGGGGCCTTCAAAGGCTTAGTGTTTATAGACTGCACCCAAATGTAACTAGAGAAATTACAGAGGAGATGAATTCCTGCAGAACAGCACAATCCACAGAACTCAATAAAAAGTCCCATCCATCATAAATCCATCAGCAAACACTGAAAATTGTGGGTGGGGTGGGGGGCGGGGGAGAGAGACATAAAATACAAGACACTCAACAGAATAGAGTTTCTACTAACATTCAAAAAGTTGCTTGAATATTCAACTTTTTGAAACTGGAGGGTATTTAATTAAAACAAAATAAAATACACAGCTGACCTTCTCTCAGTCAAAGAAGTGCCTGACTCTTAAGGTGGCCATACACCTTACAACCAATCACACGACTTTCGTTGTGCGATGGTTGTAAGGCGATTAAAATTTCGTACGACCTGGCCATCATGGACATGCAGATCGTACTTGCGATCATCGCAAGTCCAGCCCGCAGAGGGGAGGGCTTGCAGATGATTGCAATGGTGAGCGGGCAGTGTGCGCTTTGCCCGCTATATGCTGACAGTGCAGAGTCGTGTTGCAGTCGGGATCCACCCCGCTGGCTGATTGACATTGGCAGCCTGATTGTGCCCACCCCTCCACTGTCCGTCCCTCCAGTCAGCACTGGAGGATTCAGAGAGGGGAGGGGGGAATCCCTGTGGGGAGTGGTGATTGACAATTAGCCTCATCTCTTCTTTACATGTCCCTGCAACCTGCGTACGATTTTCGGCGGGTTTTCTAGTGTGCTCGTTATACGAAAATCGTGCGACCATATAGTAAATGCGACTAAATCCATGAACCCATCACACTCGAAACCGCTTGTTTCCAAAGAAGATCAGTCGGGTGCTGCGGTGATCGACGGATGGCAACCGTCACGTAACAGTGGAAGCATCCCCTTCCTCCCCCTAGAAGCATTAGTTGAAGCATCCCCAGTGTGGCCACATGTCATTGCTTGAGGAAGGGGATCCTGTGTGACCCCAAAACGGTCGTCGTATCTCTGTGATATGTCGCACCTCTTCAATAAATAAGACTTTTGCTTCACGTTTATACTGGTGTGCCGGTGTCCCTGCTTCTACATACAGTAAATGCGGTCGCACACTGCCGTTACACCTTACGATTATCGTACGATCGCGGTATCACCCGTGATTATTGTACGATAATCGTCAGGTGTATGGGCAGCTTTAGATCACCCATAGACATCGGAGAATGGCTGCTCTTTGCTGTGCTGTAGTATATTTAAAAAATTAAATTAAATTAAAAAAAAAAAAATCACACCTTTGAAGCACCGTCCTCACATATCACACATATACAGACCTTCTGTCAACTGTTGTTCCAGGTCTTTTATCTCCTCGGTTTCTCTGGCAATACGGGACAGCATCTCATCCAGGCGTCCTTCCAGCTGCTTGTACTGTCTGTCCATCATCTCCAATTGCTGCTCCTTACTGGCCTTCTGGGCCTGCACATGGGCCTGCATGGAAAACATATTGTGCATTAGAAAGGAGCCTCAAGCATGCAATAAAAGCAGTGTTTTTCCCTACAGTAACCAATCAAGTCCTTCAAACCTGCAAGTGGGGCATTTGAAGCATACAGGCTGCTTGGAAAAGCCTCAGGAAAATAAAAAATGGAAACACTTCTGATAAAGAGGCCTCAATACCAAGAAGCCATTACATTATATCTTTTTGATACATTTACCTTTTCCTTAGACATGCATTTGTTCACTGTACACATGTGACTTATACTAGAAAGCGAAAATCTGATTAACTGCTATAATTAAAAGGAGTCCCCAAACAGCCTGATCTCTACAAGTAACAATTCCAATTCAAGCATCACCGGAACTTTTTTTGGCCTTAGTTCTCTTATGGATTACAGGAGGACATATACTATGTCCTCCTGTGACCCAAAACTCAAGCATATAGTGGCCTATTGTGCTATATGCTGACAGCACAGAGTCGCGTTGCAGTTGGGATCCACCTCGCTGGCTGATTAACATTGGTGGGCTGATTGTGCCCACCTCTCCCCTGTCCGTCCCTCCAGTCAGAGCTGCAGGATCAGAGAGGGGAGGGGGGAATCCCTGTGGGGAGCAGTGATTGACAGTCAACGCTCTCTGCAGGGAGAAGATCGGGAAATGAGCAATCAGTGGTATGAGAACGCTTATTTCCTGATCTACAGAGCTGACATGTCACAGCTTCAGTGTCACACATGGGCTCTTATTATGGGGATGAGTATTTCACTCTCCTCATAATTATTCTTTAACCAAGGATCAGTCTGGAAATGACCCATACCAAACTCTTCCCACCACTGAAATCTCTACTATTATTTTTGATAGTTGACATCCTTTCTCTGTGCGACAACTGCACCCTATTCATCCCAAGTCACAGGGTACACCATGAGGAGATAATGGTAGAATGCCTCACTGTCTGTCTACAGTCACCCTAACACTGTTTATCCTTCAGACTCTTCCATGTATGAAGCCCAATCTGTTCAGTGTATCTCTATGATAGCATATATTACGAAGAAGAGAAACTAAAATGGAGTTGTAGTTTCCCCTTTAGTTTCAGCCTGATGTACTGAAGTAGAGATTGCATGTTCAAAATAATAATAATAATATACTGTAGGTCCAAATAGTTTAGGAGTAAGAAATAGTGGCTTGTAGTCAAATACAATGCTTCCCTTGAAAGTAAAAGGTGTAAAGAATAAAATCAGGATGTTGGACGTCTATGTGATGCCTGCCGCATTGGAAGGGTTCCAAAGAAATTAAGGTGGTGATAACATTTCAGTGTCTGCCTTCTCGCTTCCTCTCAGCCTAGAAGTGTGCACCTCCTCTCTATTCCCCCACAAACACTATGTGTGCAGCGCCTCCAAAGACCAGAGGACCGACTGTTTGATCATAGAGCATAGTTGCTAAGTGCATGGCTGTCAATGTCACCCAGAAATCTTGGAAGACCTCTCCCAGTGGTTGAAGTAAATCTTTCAGGTCTCTGGAAGATGATCTGCATCTGCACTAGGAAAGAGGTGATGCCACCGGAGGGTGAAGGAAGTGGGAAAAGTGAAAAACAGAGGGGGGAAGCCCAGAAACTCCCAAATTAGCCTCATCTCTTATTTGCATGTCCCTGCAAGCACAATAATTGGGTGGGGGGGGGGGGGCAATATCATGGATTTAGCAGGGACAGAGAAGCAGTGCTGGAACATACAATGACAGAGTTGCTGCATGGCAGTGGGGGTGCTGGATGGCAAAAAGGTGCAGTGTTTGGAGTGTTAGGTGACAGGGAGATGTCAGTGTACAGAGTGCCAGGGGTACTGGATTCTTCAAAGGCCCAAATGCAAGACCTGTCTACTTGCAAGCCTGCAGGAAGGCTTCTACACTCTGACGCCAAACAAATTGTTGGGTACAACAGTAGAAAAACACATTGCTGAGTACAATAGTGGGACAGATAAGGATTGAGTTAGAACAGATTTTCAGTGGAGGATTGGGATGCAAAAGTGGTCAGAAGAAGGTAGCGATGCAACAGAATGACAGAGGAATTGGAATATAAATACAATTACAGATTGGGGTACAAAAAAGGTGCAGAGGGGGATTGGGGGAACAACAGAAGAACAGAGAAGGATTGAGGGTACAACAGATTTACAGAATGAGGAACAATAAAGGGATTAGGGGAAAGGGTGCAGAAGAGAGATGGGGAGGTGAAGGCCAGGTTCACATGAAGATAGATTAGTAAACTGGAAAAGAGAAAAATCGCTGATCTGATAAAAAATAATTTGAAAAAGTAATCCAAGCACAATGGAATGGTTTATAACTCAGCACATCATATATAATGATTCAGTCAATAGAAACAAACATGGGAATAAATCAATTAGTTGGTAAACCTGGTGCCAGCTGTTCTTCGCTAAGAGCTGGTTAAATATTAATGACACACAGAGGACGTTAAAATGAACTCTACATCTATAGACAGAAGCTGAAAATGAGATCTACTGACTTTGTGTCAGAGGAAGTATCATGCATCTTTGTGATGCATGTCACAGCAGTGCAGTACTAGATGTTGTGGAACTACAAATCCCAGCTGTTCCAGGCCAACCAAAAAACTGCACTTGGCTCAGCTTTACACAACTTTATAAAACTAGTTCACTTTATTAGCATTGAGCCAGCAGTCACATACCAGCAGCTAATTAAAAACAGCCATTAATTACCAGCCCACTGAAAATAACTCCAAGCGTAATTCTACAAACGCTTTACATGTTCACTGTCCTAAAGCCTAAATTGACTATTATCAAATACACTCCTTGTAACTTACTTGCTGGCCATATTCTATGTTCTTTACTTTGCTGTGTCTTTCTGGTTGGACATATTGTTTTCATATTTTACAGATTTCCATTGGTGATAAGTACACACAGCAAACCTTTACTCAGCACTTACAGCCATTCATGTACTGTGGAGCTCACAGCAGCATCTGAAAAGGAACAGTGCATGCACTGTAGCGTATCTAGCCATATAAGTTATTGAAACATCTATTATATTTAATTTATTTACATACACAGACAGACTACTAAACAAGCTTTTAGCATGTCGTATATGCTGCTTTCAGCGCAAGCTGTCACTATAGTCTTAGCAACATCTGTCAGTTTGTCTTACAAGACATCATAGAAGGCATTATAAATAAAGTGCGCTGCCCATGGAAAACAATGAGCATCTCACGTGCACTATATAACCTACTGTATATGTGAATGTATATGTTGATATGATTTATACTATGTATATATAACAACCAATGTAAGCAACCTGTAGCCTTCCAGGATGTTAAAAATAACTATAGCATGTCGTGTCCGATAAGTCCCTAACTGCCCTCCTGAAGAATTACAAGTCACAGCATGCCTTGCTAATCAGGAACATGGGCATCTGAGGTACTACAAGTTCTGGCATCTGGCAGCTACTTTCTGTAAAAGAACTACAAGTTGCTGATGAGGCATACTTAGACTTGTAGTTATTTAGCCATTGTTTACACTTCCACATTTCTTTTGCTACAAAGTTAAATGTAACTTTGCCACCAATTTTCCCTGAAATCTTTGCTGCTCAGAAAGCAGAACAGACTGCGCACTACGCAGCAACAAGACAAGACAAGCTTCAGTAACTTACAAAGTTGTAGCCTACAGCAGCTGGGAAAGGCAATCCCCTATGTGAGCAGAGCAGGGGGACAGGGCATGGTGCTGGGTATCAATCTCCTCTCCCACAGCAATGCATCCACTTCCTCATGTCATGGTGAAATGGAGGAAACTGCTCGTCTGGTATCCTGACTTCGGAGCCCCTGATGGTTTGAAATCACAACACAGGAAGCCCGAACAGCCAGCCAATCAGAGGCCAACATCTCAAGTGTCCCTCCCCCAACACAGACTTGAATTGTTCTCCGTCTTGTAACACTCATCTACAATGTATCCATTTAGAATGCTGCTGCCCTGGATGCAGGCCACTATTCATCATAATACACAGTGCTGGGTGTCTTCTAAGTCAGATGAGAGTACAGAGGATGAACAGACGCACACTGATTGCTCCCAACAGGGCTCATTATCTGGGAAAAGTTTGTGTTCTACTAGATCATTACACCTAGTGACAGCAAACAGTGTAATGATGCAATCTCGATTTCACTGCACTCATCCTGTATTATTTTTAGACCTTCCCCAAGAAGGTCCGGGGAACAGAGCAAAAGCCTTAAAGTTACAGCCAGCAAAAAAATAAAAAAACAACACTACAAGTTGGTCCAAATAAATACAATTTACAATACACCCACACATATAGATAGATACATGCAAGTTTTAGTAGTAGCAGTCTTACAATTATCAGTCTCCGGCAGCTGGTACATTCATCATGGCATTTCCAGCATTGTCCCCAGCAGCTACATGGGGCTCATTCAACCTTATGAATTTATTATACAGTGATAAACAATTATTTGATCCCCTGCAGATTTTTTAAGTTTGCCCACTTACAAAGAAATGAAAGGTCTATCATTTTTATCATAGGTGTATTTTAAATGATAGAGACAGAATATCAACCAAAAAGCCAGAAAAAAAACACATGATACAAATGTTATAAATTGAGTGGCAGTTCAGTGAGTAAAATAAGTATTTGATCCCCTACCAACCAACAATAATTCTGGCTATGTGGTACACAGATTAGTCCTGTCAATTTAAGAATGAGCTCCTAACGACAACTCGTTATGTATATAAAAGACACCTGTCCACAGAATTTCTTTCTTCCATTCAAACCTCACCACCATGGGCAAGACCAAAGAGCTGTCAAAGGACGTTAGGGACAAGATTGTAGAGCTGCACAAGGCTGGAATGGGCTACAAGACTATCAGCAAGAAGCTTGGTGAGAAAGAAGGATTTTCACAAATGGAAGGAATACAAAATAACCATCAACCGCCCTCGGTCTGGAGCACCATGCGAGATTTCGCCTCATGGGGTAAGGATGATCATGAGAAAAGTGTGGGATCAGCCCAGAACTACACGGGAGGAGCTTGTGAATGATCTCAAGGCAGTTGGGACCACAGTCACCAAACAAACCATTGGTAACACAATACACCGCCGTGGAGTGAGATCCTGCAGCGCCCGCAAGGTCCCCCTCCTCAAGACGTCTGAAGTTTGCCAATGAACATCTAAATGATTCAGAGAAGGATTGGGAGAAAGTGCTGCGGTCACACGAGACCAAAATTGAGCTCTTTGCACTAACTCGACTCTCCATGTTTGGAGGAAGAAAAATGCTGACTATGACCCTGAGAACACCATCCCTACAATCAAGCAGAGGTGGAAACACTATGCTTTGGGGTTGTTTCTCTGCTAAAAGGTACAAGCGGACTTTGCTGCATTGAGGGGCCAATGGACGGGGCCATGTATTGTAAAATCTTGGATGAGAACCTCCTTCCCACAGCCAGAACACTGAAGATGGATTGTGGATGGGTCTTTCAGCATGACAATGACCCAAAACATACTGCCAAGGCAACAAAGCAGTGGCTCAAGAAGAAGCACATTAAGGTCATGGAGTGGCATAGCCAGTCTCCAGACATTAATCCTATAGAAAATTTATGGAGGGAGCTGAAACTTCGACTTGCCAAGCGACAGCTAAAAAACCTTAAGGATTTAGAGAAGATCTGTAAAGAAGAGTGGACCAAAATCCCTCCTGAGATGTGTGCAAACCTGATAACCAACTACAAGAAACGTCTTAACTCTGTGCTTACCAGCAAGGGTTTCTCCACCAAGTACTAAGTCATGTTTTGCTTGGGGATCAAATACTTATTTTACTCTCTGAACTGCAACTCCATTTATAACATTTGTATGATGTGGTTTTTCTGGATTTTTGGTTGATATTCTGTCTCTATCATTTAAACTACATCTATGGTAAAAATTATAGACCTTTAATTTCGTTGTAAGTGGGAAAACTTACAAAATCTGCAGGGGATCAAATCATTATTTTCCTCACTGTAATCCAGCAGCAGAGATATGAATTTATGATGTATGTACCTTGGCATCAAATCATGTGCAGCAGCTTAATTGCTTTATGGGAAATTAGAGACTTTCTGTGCTCTGACTTGCACAAAGACATTAAAAAATAAAAATGCAGGAGAACAGGACATGTGGCATCCACAAAAACTTAGTGCATGGCAAAGAGCAAGTATAACGTAGATATACACTGCTCTATATGGTCCAATTTCAAATTCAAACACTGAATTTCACATCTTTCAAAAATGCTTCACAAACACATAGGATTTGTGTTTTGCTGCTGCTATGTACACCAGCCCTTGTAGAGCTGGGAACTCAGGAGCAGAGATCTTCCCTCCAGAGCAGCCAAGAGACATTGGAGGCCAGCGAGTAATTAAAGCAAACCTGTCAGAGTAGCACAAAGTCCTATAAGAAAGTGCCTTGTAAGAGAAGTATCATGCTTATACTCCAGCTGTCTATTTCTCCTACCTTCCCTCCGCTTCAGTACTGCAGCCTCCATCCGCTTCTTTGCCATTCAACATTTCCGGAGGATTGGATGCTTGTATCCCTCGCAGCGCCACAGTTCCATTGTTCTAACCCCCTTATCACTATAGTGCTGAGCAGTGATGCAAGGGTCAGAAGAAGGAGCCACGGTGTGTGGTGGGGACACAGATATCTGACATTCCGGTCGTGAATGCTATTGGAGGCTGCATAGCTGAAATGGAATGCAAGAAGCAGACGTTAAACACTTGCAGAGGCAGCAGAGCACCTTCTTTTAGGATTGTTGCTACCCCGCTATGGCTGTTTTAAACAAACCAGCATCCAGTCAAATCTGAAAGAACCATTTTTACTAGTTTAGTCTGAGGTGTGCACTATAACACTTTGTCCCTCTTTACAAGTTCTTTAGCATTTTCATTTTTTTTGGGGGGGGGGGGGGGGGTTGTT